CTTGCCTTGTTGTTGTCATGAGTGTGCTGTTTGTTTGTTTGGTTCTCTTTGTATTGAATAAGGAAATGAGATGATATATATGTATGTTGGATGGAGTTTTTCCTTCTCTTCCACATACCTATCGTACAATCCTATGTTGTGTCATCTTTGTTGCTTCCAGTGTTATGATTTATACATGTTATATTTTCTAAATTTAAATCTTTTGTCCCTATTTAACTGCTCGTGTTTTTTTGTTTTAGAATGTCTGGAATTAAATATTAATTTATTATATTTAATAGATATATTGTGTAGAGTTATAAAATTGTCTCTAGAATATGTTACACCTTATGGATACCCTCAATCAAGGGGTGTTAGACCAATGAATTGAAAAAGAACTCAATACTCCGTAATTCACATAGAAACGCAATGGCGGGGAACAGCGCCCTCTTCCCATTTGACCATAATGGGCGTGTTTCCCATCCCGACGATCACGCATGTTTTTTTAATTGTTTTCCGTTTGCTGCTTTCTTTCTTTCTTCCTTTCTTTAGTCTTTTTCTTTCTTTCAATTTTACTTTTTTTTTTTGAATTTCATATTTTTAAAAATAAATATTTAATTATTTTATATTACTTCTAAATTTAATATTTGAGAAAATTTTGGCTTGTTTTAGTGTTTTTTATATTACTCTAAATTTAGTGTTATTTTTATAGCGTAATATTTTTTCCCTTCACTTTTTATTAGAGTTTAGGTCAACTTTTTTTATCGTATTATGTCATTGTAATTTAATTTTAATATTAATGAAATATTTATTTAATGTTTTTATTTCAAATAATTTTAATTCAACTAATTAAATGTAAAAAAAGAATATAAAAAAGAAAAAAAGTAATGGAAGGGATGAGCGCAATCCACACCTTATGATCTAACATTGGCCTGGGCCAAGTTGGCCCAGACATAGACAAAGAGATGGTGTGTTCGACCCTCATTGCACCACTAGCTTATGCTTGGCCTTGGATAGGCAACGAGGCTGGCCACATCCAGACTACGGACATTCCATACCCCTTATACAGTAGCTTGGACCCCCTATTAGGAGATCTCTCCCTTGGGTTAGGCTAGCCATGTCCCTGTAAAATTTAAGGTAATTTACACAAATATGGCTTGATGTTATGTCTGTGCAAACCAGTGAGGATTACACTCTGCACCTTATTTCTAGCTGCATTTTTTTCTCTAGCCTTTGTTGAATCAGTCTTTGCACATCAACTTTATTTGAATTAGTCTTGATTTAGTTTGTTAAAATAATGGGGATAGTGGGGATGCCCATATTTCCAGCATTGCACATAAGCTTTATTTGAATTAGTCTTGATTTAGTTAGCTAAAATGGTGGAGGTAATGGGGATGCCCATATTTCCAGCAACTTCTTCCTGATTACTAAGATTGTTTCCTATAAATTGTTATGTTGGCCTTTGGAATAAAGTACAGAAAATTGTTCCACTCTCCTTCTATTATTCTTCATGTTCCCTTCTATTTCTCTTGGCCATTGTTACAACATCTAACATTTAAATATTTCAGTTTTTCTAAATAAGATTGGTATTATTTACTGTAATGTTTGACAATGGAAAGTTCTAAAATGCTCTGCCTTTGAAAAGAATGACTTATTACACAATTTAAGTAGAATAAGACATTATTAAAAACAATTTTAAATGTCATTGAACTTATAATTCATTATCCAACACTTGTTACTAATGACCACATTTATAGAATCATTTGTATAATGAGTCATTACTCAACACCCATGAGGGCATAAATGACATATCATAGACAAATGTGTGTCATAAAGGGAAGAAAACATTTTTTATCCTATTCTGTGAAACATACTACATCATATAAAGAGCAAACTTTTCAATAAGCTAGCAAACCGGATTGTCTTCCATTATTAACAAGAGAATTATATATACACATGGTCCGAAGAAAGGCATAAGTACAAAGGGCGATAACATAATTATAGCCCATATATAATATTTGCTCTTCAATACTCACCCTCAAGTTGACACATGAAAATTACGAAAATCTAACTTTGACAATATAAAAGAAAAAATAATTTGCACAAAGTTTCAGCAAGCAAATTAGCACGTTACGTTGTACATAATGTTAGGTATATCACTCGAATATTTATTTTGAATCAACGAAATTTTATTTTGAATTTAATCAATAGAATGTTTATTTTCGACCGCCGATGGGTGTATTCCACCCAGGCCACAACCCTAGTCGGTCCAACCAAACCCAACCGGTGAAGGTCGGCTCCACAGTAATAGTGCACAAATCAATAGCCGGTCAGTTGGTCCAAATTCAACCGGGTGATCCACGGATGACCGGTCAAAGTAAGCAGTGTGGCCTTAAGGATTCCCGGATGAACTCACGACTTGCCTTCAAAAGAAACAAACTATGTGGACTTGAGAAAATTACTAGCATGGTGGATCGAGTGCGGGCCAGATTTGATTGGATGGAAACATCCTAGTTGGACTAGGTTCCATGGATGACCAGTTGAAACTTGGAACAAGGAACATTTCCCCTACCACTACACGCTAAAGGAACATTTCCCCAACATTTTCCCTCAGGGGACCCAAAATGTTAACTACAATTTCATCCAGCCCCTCCATCAATCCCTCCAAATCGGACAGATTCTCCTTTCATTCTGTCTTCTTCCTTTTCTTCTATCAACTTTTTCTTCACCTTGTAATTACAAAATTAATAATAAATAAATAGAATAAAAAATAATAAAGTTAAATTAAATGAATAAATAATAGTAATATTAATAATAGCAATAAATAAATAATAAATAATATAATAATGGGAATGAATAAAAGAAATTTAATGGGAATGAATAAAAAGTAAATATATAATAATAGAAACTTAAAACTAATATAATTATAAATAATTATAATAAATTATAATAATGAAATAAGTAAATAATAGAAATCAAAGTGATAAAGTATAAATAAAATAATAATAATAATAAATAAAAAGTAAATATATAATAAAATAAAAAATAAAAATGATAAAAATAAAACTAATAATAAAATTCAAAATAAAATAATAAAAATTTAAAAAATGAAATAAAAAAATTCTCATAATAATTGAAAAAATAGAAAAATAAAGAAAATTTAAAAATGAAAAATAAAAATATAAAAAATTGAAAATAAAGCATTTACTTCCCCTCCCAACCAAACAGGGCGAAGGAAATCCTTCTAATCCCTCCCCAATTCCCATTCTCTCCCATACCTTCCTTCTAAGAGCATCTCCAATCATTCCATTTTGATTTGCTAAATACTATGGTATAGAAAGTCAACCTTTTTCTTATCTCCAATGGTTGTGTTATATAATAGTAAGCTTGCTAAAAAATGAGTTTGGCTTCTTAAATATAACAAGCTTCCAAAATATAGCAAGCTAAATAAAACTTTTCCGTTTCCTCCCAACCAAACAAACATTAGCGATTTAGCAATTTACATTAATTCGTTTTTTAAAGTATTGGGAAAATGAGAATTGAGTCATAAGAGGTGCAATTTGGGCTTTATTTTGAGTATAGTGGTAATTGGGCCAGAGTTTGATTTGGACTGAAGCACGTATTTTGATCTATAAAAATGATTGATATGAAACGAGGAGAAAATAATTTAAAAAATGGAAAATAATGTTGGAGAGATTAAGGAGAGTGTATTCAATTCAGATTTTAAAAGATTTTGTAAGAATTTTTATAATCCATGGATTGTGAAAAATCAATAAAATTTTTTAATTCTACGTAGACTTGAAAAGATTATAATGTATTTTTATCAATATTTGTTTAGATTTTAAATCTCTATAGATTGTTCCAATACCAATAACTAGTTACAAAATTTAAAATAAATAAATAAAACACACTAAAAATAAAGTAATTACAATTTGAAAGAAAAGTGTAACAAAAAATAATGTATCGAACACGTTTATATAAGAAATCTACAGAATTTCACATTCAATTATTTTGATTGAGAAGTCCAATAATGGAGTGGCGATTATTGTAATTAGGTGAACGATAATGCATCTGATCTACTAGAAATCCAGCCTCGAAGGGTTTGAAGGTGCTCCAATTTGCCCAAGGTTTCCATACTGCAAACACCAAGTCACAGCCCAGGCCAGGCACTTCTGTAAATATTGTCGGAGCCCGAAAAATCGAAGATACTGGATGTGTGTTTGTGGAAGATGAAAACGAAAGATGTAGAGTTACGGAAGATGAACTAGCGTGGATATTTTTGTCTCTCTCAAAATCCCTATGTTTATGAAGAAATTTGGGGATGCATTTTTATTTATACTAGAGCCCATAGAATCCTTCACAATCCATCTTTAATATAAAAATCCATGAAATTTTGAATATCCTTAGATTTATTGGTATATTTTAAAATCTTAATTGAATACATCAAAATTTTAAAAGATTTTTTAAAATCTCAATTGAATACCCATGGACTTTTAAATTCCAAAAAAAATCTTAAAAATTCCATATTGAATACACCTCACTAATACTTCACAATATTGTACTACCTCCGTCCCGTTATATTCGTCCACTTTTGACTTTTGGAACTGTTCATCTAAGTACTTTGACTCATCAAATTCTCTCAATGTGTAAGCCTAAATATAGTCATGTGTGATCTTGTTTGCTTTGTCTTAACATATAGATTATTAACATATAATTTCTATAATTTTTTAATATACAAATTACAAGATAAAATGAATTAAAAAAGTGTATTGGATGGTGTGTAAAAATGAAAGTGGACAAATACTCTGGGACGGATGGAGTATGATATTTTATATTGGCATGATTGATTTTGTATATGCATTTTACTCATATTTTGTGAATATAAATACAGCATAAAATTTCTAGTTTATATTTTTTTATTTTACTCATATTATTGTCTTTTTTTCCATTTTTCACAATATTATTTTTTAATTATGGAACAATATACTACGGAATATATAATTTTTATTTAATTAAAATCAAAGATTGGGTTTGGTGGACCCAAAAAAATTTACAAAAAATTAACACTCCTATTTCTTAGACGCCGGCCGCCGTCTCGGTGGAGTCTGTGCTCTGCATCCAAGTAGGACTCTGTAGTAAACTTGTATTTTCATCTCCAGGTCAGGGCAGTCCCAAATCTCAACCCTTACACAAATGGCCTCCTCTGCCACTGCCTCCATTTCTTCCATCGTCGTCGGCAAGGTTTTTCCATGGGCTCAAAATTCGATCTTTTTTCCTTATATATTGGGGGTTATGATGTTAATTTGTATCCTAACCCTTTTCATTTGACAGAAAAATGTGGGGCTCTCAGCTTTCTCCTCTCAGCTACCCATCTCTGTTCAAACAGCCCGGAGAAAGTTTTGCAATAGAACTGTGTCCGTTATGGCACCACACCAAACTGGACATTCCCCTGCTGCCACAGGCTCGGTTGGTGTTTTTATTACACTTACCATTTTGTCGAATGGGTCTTGGGAATTTTGTGGATTTAAGCGTTTATTATATTATTTTTAAGTTTTTAAATTAATTATGTAGGTGAAGACTGATATGACCATGACTGAGAAGATTTTGGCAAAGGCTTCAGAGAAGTCTCACTTGATCCCGGGTGAGAATGTCTGGGTGAATGTTGATGTTCTGATGACCCACGATGTCTGTGGACCAGGTTCTATTGGAATTTTCAAGAAAGAGTTTGGGCAAGATGCTAAGGTAATTGCCACTGAGTTAGCTGATACTCAAGCTGAACTGAATTGTCTTGAAAATTGTATTGAGTTTGGCCGAAAGTTCAAAACCAGAATTTGGACTGTCTTGAGAAGCTGAGAGTAGCCAAAAGTTCAAAGCTTTCTGATAATGGAGTTTCATCCATTCTTTTTTTGATTGGAGTTTATACGGTTGATCAGATTTTTTTATTCCTCTGTAGATGCTAAGATGATTATGATATGATGAATTGGATTATGTCATTATTTCAACACCAGGTATGGGATCGTGAAAAGGTTGTTATCATACCTGATCACTATATATTTACAACCGATGAAAGAGCTAACCGCAATGTGGATATCTTGAGGGACTTTTGCACTGAGCAAAGTATTAAGTATTTCTATGACATTAAGGATCTTGGAGATTTCCGGGTATTGTGCTAATGCCCTGTCCATTTATTGGTATTTGAACCAAAGTGTCCAAGATTTTGATTTCTGGTTGTTTTCTATTTCTGAGCAACTTTATTTCTAAACCTTGTAGGCCAATCCTGATTACAAAGGTGTCTGCCATGTTGCTCTTGCCCAAGAGGGTCATACCAGACCTGGAGAGGTCATTCACATTTACTTGTGAAAAAAAATCTAAAAGGTAGTAGTGTAGTACATTGCATAGCAATGCTGAGTTTTCTTTTGTGCTCTCAGGTATTGGTTGGAACAGACTCCCATACATGTACTGCAGGAGCATTTGGGCAATTTGCCACTGGAATTGGGAATACAGATGCAGGCTTTGTATTGGGTACCGGGAAGATTTTACTTAAGGTTTACAAGTCCCCCCCCCTCTCATTTGGAGTTTTTGATAATGCTTTGCGGTTTTTTCCATGCTTGTGGAATAACCTATAATGATGATGGTTTCAAAATTTTCATCTCATTATTTCTTCTTCTGAAGGTTGTGATAGCAAGGGCATCGAATGTAAAATACTGCCACAATGTCTTTTGCCTGAATTTTGTGTTAATTATTTGATACAATTAATTGCCAGTTTGCCACTAGCCCCAACTAGTTGGGATTAAGGTGCTGATAAGGATGATTCCAATGTACTTCCATTATGACATGCCACATCCCTGCATAATGCAGGTTCCTCCAACTTTGAGATTTGTGATGGATGGTGAAATGCCTGATTACTTGCTAGCTAAAGATTTAATTTTGCAAGTAAGTTTGTTAAAGTTGCTACTACATATTACGGAGTACTTTATTTACATTCGGTCTTAAATCCGCTTATAATGTGAAACATTCAATCTTATTTCTCTTATGTGTGTTCCTAAAATCATTTGGATTCATAAAGCTTCCAAGTTTCATATGTAGTTCATTTGAGATTTCTATGTCTTAGATTATTGGTGAGATTTCTGTAGCTGGTGCAACATATAAAGCAATGGAGTTTGTTGGTACAACAGTTGAAAGCTTGACAGTAAGTTTATATTGATTTTAATGTAAAAGTATACATAAAACTTCTTTGTTTCAATTTTAATTAATTTGCTTTTCTCTGAATGTTTATTAATGATTTTGCTGCTTTTTAATTTTAAAAAGATGGAAGAAAGAATGACTCTATGCAACATGGTTGTTGAAGCTGGTGGAAAGAATGGTGTTATCCCAGCAGATAGTACAACCTATGAGTATCTTGAGGTAAACTTTATTTATTATGGGCTTATTGATCCTCACAATTCCTTCCATCTCTCTTGGTGGGCTACGTGCTCTGCCACATTTTTTAGCTAAAAAATGTCTTTCTTGTCTTCATTTGCAGGGAAGGACTTCTGTCCCATATGAACCTGTTTACAGTGATGCACGAGCCAGGTATTCACAGTTTAGATCCTGCTTTGAACTATTAGGCTATTTATAGGGTAGTGATGCATGCTTCCAATAAGAGTGTCTTCCACCGGAGGACATTACCTTCACAAGTCACAGGTCTGCAGAATTAAATCTGCCTTTGTGGATCACTGGCAAGTGGCAATTGGTATTGTCAGCAACAGGTGCTAATATGATTACATTAAGGTTCTAAACTTTGTTATGCCCTAGTTGGGCTCTCGAGTGCCGCCCAATCTGCATAGGATGCCAAATCTAGTGCTTCCCCTACCTAAGAGATCCTAAATGGCACAAAGTTTCCTTGAGGCGAATCACCATTGGGGCGCCTATCACCAAATAGAGGCCTAAGCGTATTTAGAACAATTAGTTGCTTTCAGTGAAAGAATTCTTTTTGTAGCCTATGAATTTTCATCTCTTTATTTTTCTTCGTTTCAATCAATTAACTATGTGCATTTATTTTACTTGTGTTTAGGTGTTACTTCTAGTGCTTAACTAGGTTTCTTCAATCAGTTTGTTGCTCTATCTTCGCTGTCATTTTTTTCATTCACTTACAGTTAGCCATTTAGGTCCTGCTTATTGTTTTTGTTTAATTTACTTTCTTGATGATTCTTAAAACTTTGTAGTTTAATTTGTTTCAAATTGTGATTTTAAAACTTAAGTTTTGCCTAGGTGGCTAGGTGTCCTGGTTGTCTGCTGGTGCGGCGGCCTAGGCACCATGATAACTATAAACTTTGAGCACGAATTCTTTCTTTTCTTTTAAATATATGTGCTTAGCAGGTGCATGGTATTTCAAACAAATTGCATTCTATAATTTTCTAATGCTCATTTATTGGTTTGTTACATTTGATATTCATTTATTAAGTTTTACCGGAGTACTTTATTTCAGGTTTCTTTCAGAGTACAGATTTGATGTATCAAAGTTGGAGCCTTTAGTGGCAAAGGTGAACAAACTGTTTGTCTCATTTAATAGAATTGACATCTCTTTTACATTTTTTTTTGTGCACCTTTTTCTTGCTTGATTTTGTCTGAGCCAATTTGTGCCTAATTGTTGTGTTCAATTTCACTATGTACCACTATATGCTCCAAACCTGATTATCTCTTTCCCCTTTTGTGATAACTCTTTAGCCTCATTCCCCTGATAACCGTGCCTTAGCAAGAGAATGCAAAGATGTCAAAATTGACAGAGTTTATATTGGATCTTGTACTGGTGGAAAAACAGAGGACTTCATGGCTGCTGCCAAAATTTTTCTAGCTGCGGTAATATACTTGTTCTGCTTAGGGTCTGTTTGGGAATGGGGGAAATGACTTCCGGACATCATTTTTCCATTTTCCGGTGGAAAAGAGGAGTCGATAGAAAATGATCCTTATTTGGAAGAACAAAAACTAGTTTTTTTTCGAGACCCACCACATTTTATTACGAGTATGTCATAACAAAAACTAGTTTTTTTTTTTTCATTTTCTAATCTATCAACCAAACGCCAAAAAATGAATTTACTTTCCAGAAGCCATTTTCCTATCTTTCCAAACGGACCCTAAGTTGGTTTGTATTTTCTTTAATTGGATTTTCTGCTGATCATACAACTGGTTGCATAATACGCAGGGGACAAAAGTAAAAGTCCCAACCTTTCTTGTTCCTGCTACTCAAAAGGTTCGTGATCATTTGTGGACTGGTATCAAATGTTTGTGAACATATGGTTTTCGATGCTCCGCAATGTCAATTTTTTACTAGTAAGCATATTCATCTTTGTTATTTATGCGCACAATTCAACTTAGGTCTGGATGGATGTATACAGCCTCCCAGTTCCAGGATCGGGCGGGAAAACGTGTTCCCAGATTTTTGAGGAAGCTGGTTGTGATACGCCAACAAGTCCTAGTTGTGGGGCTTGTTTGGGGGGGCCCAGAGACACTTATGCACGCATGAATGAACCTCAGGTAAGTTGTATCCATTGTTTTGTACGGTAAGTCTTAATGGTAAAAACTGTAAAGTATACAATGCTTGTAAAAGTTCATATCATTTCATTTAAGTGAATCACAAAAGCAAAAATGAATAAGGTGGAGAAAAGTTATTGCTACTTATAAGATGCCAATGAAATAGAGGAGAAAACGGTCGAGTCTAAAATAAATCCTTTGGGTAAGGTCCAAGAAATTATTGGATTTTGGTTGAATATTAACAGAAAATAAAGAGATTCAAAAAGCTCTCCAAGAGAACCAAAGATACTATCCCGCAAGGCCGCAAATATATCTTTGCCCCCTTCATCAAAACTAAAAACATCACAAAACTATTGTCTCTATTTACAAGCAATAAAAATCGCGCTAAAGAAATTCAAAAGAATGTTTCAGTAAAATGTAAGTAGGCAATTCAGACTACTAAACAGCCACACTAGAACATTGCTTACTTACCTTGCTTATTTGTAGTGTCCGAATATATGACTCCATGATAAGCTTACCTTGCTTATCTATATATAGTTATTTGCTTTACGCTGCTTATAACTTTGCTTACTTAGTGCAATAATATGTGAATCTCTAATACGCACGACAATTAGGCAGACGGAGCTCTCTTAGTTACCAAATATACACAAATTGTTGATTTATGGTTGAAGCAAGAGTTCCCTCCAAATGATTTACTTATTGCTTACTCCCCCGTCTCATAATAATGTTCCACTTTACTCTTCACAAGGTCAAAATATATTCACTTTCTTTACCTATTTTCATTGATAATTTGATAAAATAGAATAGTTTTGTCACCACTTGTTCTGTAGAACTTTTGAAATACTCCGTAGTTTTAAAATATATACGGAGTATAAGTTTTATGTATTAATTCCACACCAATCTTTATATAAGTTGAATTGAAAATAACTATGGTCAAGTATCGTATTTTGAAACTGGAACATTATTATGGGACAGAGGAGTAAATATATATTCAAAAGAACTAATAACTCAAGATGTGTTTCCCTATCATGCTCAAGGGCGAAATGGGGCTCATTAACGGTAGGTCATTGTAGCTTTTTTTCTTCTACATTGAGTCAAACTGGAAGTACAACTCAAACTAGAAAAATAATCATTCTTTCTAATTCGAAAGGGAAGTATGATAGTTTACTTTCAAGTCATTGCCGATCCTTACAAGGGACTCTGAATTGCAGGTATGTGTCTCAACAACAAACAGAAACTTTCCCGGTCGAATGGGGCACAAGGAGGGACAGATATATCTTGCGTCTCCATTTACTGCTGCAGCATCTGCGCTGACAGGTTTTGTCACCGATCCCAGAGAATTTTTACAGTAATGCCCTTCATAGAACTCGTACGGATCATCAGATCGTACACAATCTGGTCTGATGATTTCTGGGAAAGGCGTTCGCTTTCTGTTTTTACGTGCCTTGAGCTTTAAAAAAAGTATGTTCTAGGTTGTAGCCAGGGTTAGCGCTGTTTAGCTATAACTAGACCTTATCACAACTTTGATATTTTCCCACTGTATAACAAAAGTTTGACTTGTACTGCACTCCAAACAATAATAAGTTGCTTTCAAGGAGAAGCTAAGCTATCTTTTAAAATCTCTTTGCAAAGTCTTGGCGTACCCGTTGAGGTGTTGTCGTGTACTTTGAGGTCACATTCTCACAGGGTCACACTCTTTTGCCAAAATACAAGGTACACTTAGGGTAAATCTGTAGTCACATCAAGTTTCACACCAAAATTTGACACCATGTGTTTCGCAGAAAATAATTGTCGCGAGACACACGGTGTTAAACTTGATGTGACTATAACATGGTCCGTAAACTTTTACGGTGGTAAACTTCCCTTGAAAAGATGAAACTGGTCGTTGTGTTTTAGCCCCAAAACGACGTGTTTAAAAGCGGATTTTAGGGCACTAAACACATTGTCCATTTTTGTTTTGTCTCTTGCACTTGCAATGTTGCATTTACGTCTATCTGCGTTGTTGCTTATACTTACAGTAGAAGCATTTCACATTTTCTAATGGTGAAACAAATATATGAGGGTAACACTAGACTTACAGAGGTATTATTGAATTGGTACATGGGCATGGACCATTTTAAAAGAAAAGAAAGACAGCCACAAAATGAGAAGAAATGCTAATTTTGAGCAAGTTGCATAGCTTCTTAAAAAAAATTTGTGTGTTCTTCACAAGACACACACGGACGAAGCTTAGATACGGCTTCCATTGCGTCTTTCATGTGTTTCCTGGATCTTTGTCGGCACTGAAATGTGACGAAAATTTTGAGATGTGTAAGATACAGTAGATAAAGTTTAGACACGAAAAACTTGCATTGAGACCGTTTCATTGGGAGCGACGCGTACCAAGTCCTTTAGCCTCAGAAGTCCTCAAGATTCTTAACCTTTTCGCAGCGCCAACAAACATCCTATAACATGCCAACCCCAAAATTTCATAATCCATGCAAGAAACATCTATACCCTATATGTGGGGGTATATGCGGATCTTATCCCACGACGGATTAAAGCCACCAAGTTTTTAAAAAAGAAGAAGTTACATACCCCCATGGGACATCACCCACGAGTAGCCAATCACCTTCTTTATCCTCGTATGTTAAGGCGAACTCGGAAGATCCATCTAAAAGCTTTGATGGTGTCATCTCTATTTGCTCCTTTTCCCCACCTAAGCCACATTGCAAGGGATTAGTAGTAAAGGGGAGAAACCATATGAACACAAAACACACACACACACACACGTTAAGTTGAGCGTCTGTTTGGGACGACTTATACGAACAAAAGATGGGAATTACTCACAGAAAGAACCCATAACACTTGTTGCGGACTTGAACATCGCGACCAACGCTTCGGCCAAACTTTGGTAGGAAGTGTGAGCAGTGAGGTCCACTTTTCTCCCAATTGGGATTCCATCCATGTTGACCTTCACAAACCCAAGACTTCCATTTTCTTTCACACTAAACCCACCATTATCACTCTTCTTTCCCTTGCTCAGTTTGTTTGATGAGTTTTCCTCACTTTTCTCATTATTTCCATTGTCTTCCCCATTGGGAGTTTTCCCATGGTTCACCAAGCTGTTCATCCTATATGACCTTATGGGTGGCCATCCCACAACCTGACCCATGCCCCTGAAAACAAAGTATTAGAGCAAGTGTAGAAGCGCGTCAATACATGAATAAGAACGATGCACAATGATTAAAAAAAACTACGACAGTAGTAAAATAGTCCACATCGGAGAATTTGGGAAAGAATAATGAGTTAATAAGATTTTAAATTGAAGTAAACAATCAATTGAACTCGATATTTTTGACAGATTTACGGACAGATCGACGGTTTTATACGAGTATTACCTTGTCTTAGGGTCGATCCTGAAACGAGAAAAAAATGTGAAAGACTCTGAGTGAAAACATGTTTTGGGCCGGATTTTGCTTTGTCTGGGACACATGTGTTTTAAAATTAGTTCTAAATCTAATTTTTCATGATTAATTATGCAAAATTGCGACTATTTTTGCCCTCTTTTCACTTCCCCTACAACCAAACATACCCTACACGGCCTACATTCAGAGAAAAATATTTGAGATGTATATTTTTTTTCTCTCAAAAACGAAATAAAAAAAAGTGTAAACTTTTTTTTGGACAAACGAAAAAAAGTAAAAACTTCCAACAAGTTAGGGACTATACAATCGACCACTAACTATACTCTGGTATAAAACACTCTTCCTCTCCAAATCAATTTGACACATTGACTTCATTGAGTTTAAGGTAAATGTTAAAATATGCTTTGTAGTTTGGTAAAAAGTGAAAAATATTGGTTGACATTTATTTAGAAGAAAGAAGTCAAGATGTTTACTATTTTTTTAAAAAAAATTAGTGTAGAATTGTAAAGTTATTTTTAAAAAAATTCAAAAATAGACAATTTAAAATTGGTTTGGAAAGGGAAGGACAAGTTCTATCATTATTAAAAGTGAAGGCCCACTCCAATGCTATATATGTGCTCTGAAAATAGTGCAAATTGCACTTTGAGTCATGCTACAATAATATCAAGTTCGATGGCACGGATGACAATCTCCATGAACTTGCTCACACAGACAGTGCAACTATCTGTGTTTGCAAAGGACCGTCGGTGTGAACAAATTCGACGGTTGTCATCCGTGTCACAAATTTGAAGTTATAGTAGAAAATTTTCAGTTGCACTCCGCTAATTCTCTTTTGTTTCGCTTTCTTTTTTAGAAATGAAATGAGAGCCTCTTCTATATCCTTTAAACAAATTTTAATAGTACAACTTAATTTTTAAACTTTTATACTTCTTTTAAGCTCTTAAAGATTAAACAAGAAAAATTTTTATGGAACGAGGAGAGCATTTTTTTGTGGCAATGAACTTTAGTGCACATTTGAGTTTCTCTTAGAACCCTCCCCCATCCCCCAAAATTAAAAATAGAAATCACTTTAAATAGAACTAAAACATAGAAAAAAGTACCAAAATAGGACTTTCATATTTTTTTTCGAAATAGGGCTTTGCACTGTGGTAATGTGACTTTGCCCTGTTGTAATGTGTCAGTGTACATGTACAAATTACTATACTTTTTTGGTAATGTATATGACCATGTATGCTAATGTAAGTCCTATTTCAGGAATAAAAACATGGAAGTCCTATTTTGGTATATTTTCAATGTTTTAGTCTTACTTTGGTCTTTCTCCCAATTAAAAAACACCTCCTCTGTCCAAAAATTATCTTCTCGTTGCATGTTACGATGTTTGATTGAAGTTATTTTCAAATCATTTTATATAAAAATGATGTCGAATTTAAAAATAAAAGTTTCATATTTAAAAACTACATCACAAGATCTATAAAATTAGAGGTGGCATGATTATATTTTTTTTATCAAATAGGCCAACAAAGTAAGTAAAGTTTGATCTTGTAAATAGTGAACGAGAAAATAATTTTTTGACGAATAGAATAAAAAACATAAGTCTCTCCCCACTCCAACCAAACAATATTTCTCTCCCCTCTAGCCAAACTCAACCACTCATAACATCAAAGGAGTACTAGAAGTCCATTTGGTGGCCGGTAAGCTCCCTCTCATGCAACAAAACTTCAAGATAACCAAAACCCTTTATTGAAGACAACAAAATGTTCACCATAAATGATTGGATTTGGAAACCTACATTGATTTTTTATTAAAAGAAAAAGAAAAAAAATTACTTAAATAAAACTCAAACATTGAATGTAAACTAAAATAAAACATCTTATATCTTCAACCACAAAAATATCTTTACCACCTAAATACTTCTTCCGTCCAATAATAAAATTCTTATTCACTATTCACAAAGTCGAACTTTATTCACTTTGTTGACCTATTTTCATGTCCTATCTGATAAAATAATGTAGTTATGTCACCTCTAGTTTTGTTGATCTTTTTATGTAGTTTTTAAATATGTAAGTTTTATGTTTTAATTTCATACCATTTTTCATATAAATTGATTTTAAAATAACCTTAGTCAAACATCCCAACGCGCAACGAAAATTTATTTATGGACGGAGAGAATGGTAAATAAGAGTATTGACCGTGTGAAGCGTCCATAATTTGGAATCGTATGTTATTTTTCACAGTGTCTTTTGATATTATATTTTGACATTATAATTATTGTTTTGATATAAAACAATTGAATGTCCTATCTTGATTTCCTCCCTTCGTCCAAATTTAATTTTCACATTTGACTTTTCTTGGTTAGAATTTGTAAACTTTAATCTTGCTATTCAGAAATACATTGTCATTCGATATATATGTAATATCAATATTTTTCTTTTACAACGTATTTTTGATATATTAAAAGCTTATACGAAGTAAAATATATGTATGTACAAATATTTATATTTATGTTCAAAGTGTAACGTTATAGATCGTGAAAAATCAAATGAAAAGATTAAATTCTGACGAAAAAAAGTATTAAAAATACTTTAGTCTGTCTTTTTCTTTCATTGAATAAAGAAACAGAAGAAACCATTATTTTACCTGGTGACACAATCTGGAGCTCTTTGAGTACCTGAAACAGCGCCATCAATTTTTGCGGGTTTTCCCCTGCAACAACTTGGGCCTGGGGATTTAGCCTCGGAGAGATAACAACTGGGCCGGCTCCCAATGTTCAGGCCCAACCCAAGTTCAAGCCCGGCTTCCCCGCCGCCGAGTAACCGGAGATTTGGTTCCATGAAAGAAAGAAAGAAAGAAAGATAAATTTGAAAGGAGAAGAGAGAGAGAGAGGAGAGTGAAGAGAGAAAAGGTGGGTGGGAGGAATCTAGCTTAGCGTAGTATAGTGTGTGGGCTATAAAAGAGCAAGAAAACAAATACCCCTGCCACTTTCTTGTCTTTTACTTCACTTGTACTTCATTTGTCTAGCCCCAGTCCCCGGAAATGAGATTCATTCTTTTTCTTTCCTACTTCACTTGACACCGATTTTGATGCCGCGTAAATTACATTCTTTGTCCCGAAGTAGATTTTTATTTTGATTTATAAAGTTTGATTGAGAATATATTTAATTCTATTTATTTATTTATAAACGTTGATGAGTGTTGATGGGTATATCCCTATACCCGGCCCGGACAATCAAAAGAGACAGGTCAAAATATGACCGGTCACTTTCATCAATCACC